GGAGTCTTTGGGCTTCAACAAGGATGGGTGGGATAAGCATGGCAGGACGAGAGCGCAGTTGTCTCCCCCAATGCCTGCTGATGATGCCCTTCTAGCCTGAGGTTGGTAGCCTCCACATTTCGCCCAGGAGCCAGGTTCACTGAGGTCCTCCGCAATGTGGATGGGGAAGGTGTGGAATTGTCATTGCCGGAGGAACATGAGTTCTGAGCAGAAAGTAAGGAGAAGTGGATGAACTCAGCAGTTGTAAATTTGGTCACCTGCAGTTCCTCAAACAGTTACACATAGAATTACCATATGACTGAGAAATTCTACTCCTAGATATATACAGGAGAGAAACTGAAAACATATGTCCACACAAAAACCTGGACCTGAATGTTTCTAGCAGCTCTACTCGTAATAGCCAGAGTGGAAACCACGTAATAGCTGAGGAAGGGATGAACAAAAAGTGGTACAGATATCCCCCACCTTTCTTGAAAGTTCACTTTACACCACTTCGCTTTTATGAAAGACCTACGTTAGTACCTGTTTTCACTAGCCTGAAGAAATCTGAAGAGGATTTTCGCTTTTACAGTAAAAGGCAAAAGGCGAGAGTAATACTGTGTCTCTTTTGTAGTGAGTGGTTATAAAGGCAGCGCCTACCCCATGCCTGGGAGTGGCACAGTCACGCTCCTTCCCGGAAACTACACTCAGCATCTCAGCATGCAGTCACCGTAGCCTTCAATTGTGTCTGTGAGCATCTGTGCTTTCTCTCTGTTTATTTTGTGCATTCATTAGCAAGATACATCCTGGAATAATGACTTCCTTATTTTATGCCATTTCAGTTTACGAAATGCTTCATAGGAATGCTCTACTTTCAGATAGAAGAAAAAACCTAAATATTCTATGCTGGAATATTATTTATTCAGCTATAAAAAAGGAAGGAAGCATTGATTCATGCAATAGTATGGACAAACTTTGAAAAGAGTATGTGATATGAAAGAGGCAAGACACAAAAGGCCACAAATTGTATGACTGTGCTTATATGAAATATCCACAACAGACAAATTCATACAGAGAGAAAGCAGATAGTGATTGCCAGAGACTGGGGGAAGGAGGGAACGGGGAGTGGGTAGAGGGTTTCCTCCTGGGGTGATGAAATGTTCTGAAATTAGATGGCGGCGGTTGCACAGTTTTGTGAATACCCTAAACACCACTGAATTGTATGCTTGAAAAGGGTGAAATTTACCATATGTGAATTGTATAGCTCAATAGAAACAATGATAAATAAATAAACTTTGACCACCCAGTGCTGTTCTATGGAGACAGTGCAGCAGTGAGCAGTGAAGTGATGTATCCGAGATCCATTTGCTACCCCTTGGCATCGGGATGGGAGAGCTGGAGGATGGATGAACTTGGATGGAGGAGTTTTCTAGAACCAGGATCCAAGTGAGTCCTCCAGTTGGATCTCAGGTGACTGATGACCCATAGAGTTAGTATTCCTTTCTGTGAACGGGGCAGTGATGGCCAGGTATGTTGTAAAGGACATGAAGTTTGATGTTTTCTTAAGAGAGTCCATCTTCACCAGAATAAGGCAAAGTATGGTCAGGCTCAGTACACACAAGAGTTGGGGAAAGTTGTGGGAGCCTTTTCAGCCTTCCTTTCTCCTGGAACCATCTGGTGGGCTGTAATGCATCAGAAGATGTAGGTTCAGGTATTGGCCACTGAAAGCCGCAGACTGGCATATACCTCATTGACTTTCTTAGGGGCACCATGGCAGAAAAATAGGACTCACAAAAGCCACCGCATGGGCAGGAGCCCCACACATACTCAGCTCAACTGATTGCTCCTTCGAAATCCATCAGGTCCAATTACCTCCAGCTGGGGCTTCTGGTTAGGGCTGCAGAGAACCGTTTTTGTTTTTTGTTAAATATTTATTTAGCAGGTCATAGCATGCAGAATCTTCTATCTTCATTGCGGCATGCAGGATCTAGTTCCCCGACCAGGGATTGAGTTGGGGCCTCCTGCATTGGGAGAACAGAGTCTGCATTGGACCACTAGGGAAGTCCCTTTTTCGTTTGTTTGTTTTAATATCAGTGGCTGGAAACTTTATGTATTTATTTATTTGCTGTATTACACAGTTTACGAGGGATCTTAGTTCCCTGGCCAGGGATCAAACCTGTGCCACTTGCAGTGGAAGCACCAACTCCTAGCCACTGGACTGCCAGGGGAGTCCCCATTTTAACAGTTTTTAAGCGTACAGTGCAGTAGCATCAAGGACAATCGTATTGCTGTGCAAACATCACCATCCTCAATCCGCAGAACTTTTTCATCTCCTCAAACTGAAATTCTAGACCCATTAAACACAAACTCTTCATTCCCCCTCCTCCCAGCCCCTGGCAACCACCAGGGTTCCTTCTATTTATCGAAGTTTGACTACCCTAAGGGTCTCACATGAGTGGAATCATATAGTATTTGTCCTTTTGTGTCTGGCTCATTTCACTTGGCATAATGTTTTCAAGGTTCATCCATGTTGTAGTATGTTTCAAAAGATCCTTCCATTTTAGGCCTAAATAATGTTACATATAATATAAACAATATTTTTAATATAAACATTTTGTTTATCCATTCATCCATCAATAGACCTGTGAATTCATTCAAGTTATTTCTGTCTTTTAGCTATTGTGAATAATGCTGCTATAAGCAGTAGTGTGAAAATGTGTTTTGAGTTTCTGCTTTTAATTCTTTTTTTTAAAATTTACTATTATTTTTTAAAATATTTATTTACTTGGCTGTCCCAGGTCTTAGTTGTGGCATGTGAGATCTAGTTCCCTGACCAGGGATTGAACCTGGGCCCCCTGCATTGGGAACAAAGAATCTTAGCCACTAGACCACCAGGAAAGCCCCTGCTTTCAATTCTTGTGCACATACGTAGACATAAAATTGCTGGACATATGGTAATTCTATATTTAATTTCTTGAGGAACCAGTTAAAAAAAAGTTAAGCCTTTCTGTAAGTGATGAAAAACAGTTAAGAATTAAAACAGCCAGTTTGATACCCTGAGAACAAATAAACAAACAAAAACATACCTGGTCTTTCTGGTTTTTAATAATGTTTACTCTTCTAGTGGGCTTCCCGGGTGGCTTAGTGGTAAACAATCCACCTGCCAATGCAGGAGATGTAGGTTCAGTCCCTGGGTGGGTCTGGGAAGATGCCCTGGAGGAGGAAATGGCAACTCACTCTAGTATTCTTGCTGGGAGAATTCCATGGACAGAGGAGCCTGGTAGGTTACAGTCCATGAAGTCGCAAAAGAGTCGAACACAACTTAATGACTAAATAACAACAACTCCTAGTGTTTAATTATTTTTAAGACAGATTATTTATAAGAAAACAGATAAAACAATTTTCAGATTTTATTTACTTGGAATTTATTTTAAAAAGAAAACCTTTTTAATGCCATGAATACATGTAACATAAAATTTACCATCTTAATCATTTGTACATATCCAATTCAGTGGCATTAAGTTCAGGTTTTATTTTAAGGTTTATAAACTCATCCAATTCTAATCTCATTGGGTTTCACGCAGGTATTAAGGCACAAAGCCTTGGGACTCTCTTTCCTCCTACTCTCATCCCTGCCACATTTTATACTCCTTCTGGCCCTTCCTTCAAAACCACAAGGGCAAAGCAGTCTGAGTCAGGCTGCCTTTGTGACCATCTTTTGTAATACACTAACATTTCAACATATTTTTGGTAGCCCTTCACATTAAATGACTGTCATTTTGCAAAATGAAATATGTATTCCTAGGAAGTGTTGTGCTGTATACAGGTTGCTGGCCAGAGAAGGGATTTATATCTATAAATCCTCCCGTCCTCCGATGGACATGAGGTGTAAGACTTAGGGCACAAGATGTAACTTGTTTAGGGCTTATCTGTCCTCTGTCAGTGAGGGAGTCTAACTAGACAATCTGTGAAAGGCTCAAAGTCCAGGAACTGATGATGCTCTTCTTGACCCTCAATGCTAAGAGAAAGGAGCCAAGATGGCAAATGTTCACGGTCTTGGTGGTTATTGCTCAGTTGCTCAGTCGTGTCGGACTCTTTGCGACCCCATGGACTGCAGCATGCCAGGCTTCCTTGTCCTTCACAATCTCCTGGAGTTTGCTCAAACTCATGTCCATTAAGTTGGAGATGCACCCAACCATTTCATCCTCTGTCACCCCCTTCTCCTCCTGCCTTCAATCTTTCCCAGTGAGTCAGCTCTTCGCATCAGGTGGCCAAAGTACTGGAGCTTCAGCTTCAGCATCAGTCCTTCAGTGAATATTCAGGGCTGATTTCCTTTAGGATTGACCGGCTCGATCTCCTTGCAGGCCAAGGGACTCTCAAGAGTCTTCTCCAGCACCATAGTTTGAAAGCATCAATTCTTTGGCAGTCAGCCTTCTTTATGGTCTATGGTCTCACATCCCTACCTGACTACTGGAAAAAACATAGTTTTGCATATACGGACATTTATCAGCAAAATGACGTCTCTGCTTTTTAATATGCTATCTAGGTTTGTCATAGAAGCAAGCGTCTTTTTTTTTTTTTTTTTTTTTTTGGCAAGTGTCTTTTTATTTCATGGCTGCAGTCACCATCCACAGTGATTTTGGAGACAGGCCTAAGCACGTTTTTTAACCTGGATCCTTCCCAGAAGCCTGGCATTTTTGCTACCTGAGCCTCACCTCATAGCTATTTTCCAACGGAAATTGGGGCTAAATGGTCTGAAGAAAAGGAGATACATGCTCATGAAAAACACGGAGAAGGTGGGGCAAGCAGGAAGGGGTAGGGGCAGATGGCAAAAGCGGGATTGGGGGAGGGCCCAGTGGGCGGCGCAGCAAGTAGAAGGGGCCACCTTGGTGGTCAGGATGGGCTCTGGGTCTCTTTCTTGGCTTCCGCGTACGTGTTCTGAGGTCTGGGGGCTGGCTATGGGGTGACACGGAGTTCGGCAGAGCTACTGCCCATTCCGGCCCCACCCCTTGCCAGGAAACGCCTCCCCGCCGCAGTGACCACATCCCCCCGCAGGTTGCCTGGGAAACGCTCGGCAGGGGCTGGGGGATCCAGGGCACAGTTGCCCAGCAACAGGTGGTGCCCTCCCTTCCGCCCTCATGTGAGGCAACTGTCCAGCACCCTCTGCTCACACAGGGAAGAGCGGCTCCGACGGAGAGTCAGAGCCCGGGACCCACTGCCTGAGGTGAGGAGCGCAGGAGGCCCCTGAAGGTGGGGGACCAGAGGGTCCGCCAGGAGGTGAGCAGAGACAAACAAGACGGGGGTCGGGCAAGACTGGGCAAAGCCGGAGAGGCGGGGACGGCGGTGGAGGTGGCAAACCCAGGGGAGCCTGCAAAGAGCAAGACCAGCTCCAAGCAGAGTTGTGAAGGCCAAGGAGCACCCAGGGTGCCGGCCGGGCCCACACCCGGGCAGGGCTGGGATAGGTCTCACTTCCTCACCCCTTACTTCCTCTTCCAGGCAAGACCTGAGGGGGGCTGAGACGGGAGGAGAGGAGCCCTCAGGGCCGTTTGAGTTTTATCTGGGGCACCCTGGAGTCTGGGAGGAAAATACAGCTTCGAGGAAGGGCCTAGCTGCAGACCCAGGTGGGCCCTGTCTCTCTGGCCATCTGGCTCCTTCCCGCCCTTTCTGGGACTCCGGGCTCCTCTTTCTGCGTGGGTCTGTTTCTCACCCAGATGTCTGGGAGCCCGGCTCCCCTCTGTCTCTCTCCTCCCCGTGGTCACACCCCTGAGGCCCCCCTCTGTCTCTCCTGGTGGTATCAACCTTGTCTCAGGCGCTTCCTCTCCTGACCGCTGTCTCCTCAGATGCCTCCAACCCCAGCGCCGCCCTCGGGGCAGACGGAGGCCTCCTCATGGGTCCCGCTGCCCTGCGGACCCTGCATCCCCATCATGGTGGCCCTGGCCGCTCTGGCCGCCGTCTTCCTCCTGGCCACAGCCGTGTTGGCCGAACGCCTGTTTCGCCGCTCCCTCCAGCCGAACCCCAGCATCCGCGCACCCACCCTCGTGTGGCGCCCCGGAGGAGAGCTGTGGATCGAGCCCAGAGGCACGCCCCGAGAGCGCTCTGAGGACTGGTATGGCTCAGAGGTCCCCCTGCTGACGGACGGGGCCCCAGACCCGCCCGCCCAGGGGGGCACCTTGGAGGCACGAGCGACAGCCCCACCCGCTCCCTCAACCCCACGCTCCGCCCCCAGCAGCCCGGTCCCCCAGGCCCCACCCAATGCCCCAACCCAGAGCACCTTCTGGGGGCCCCACGTCTGGGAGGAGAGGCCCCAGGCCCCAGGCCTGGTGAGCTGGGCTGAGCCTGAACAGAGGCCAGAGGCCAGCGCATATCCCGGGAGCCCCCAGGCCCGGAGGGTGCGGCCAGGAAGCCCCGATCTTGAGTGGGGCCTGCAGCCTCGGGTCACCCTGGAGCAGATCTCAGCATTCTGGAGGCGTGAAGGCCGAAGCAGCGTGGGTTTCTGAATCCCCAGGGCCTGCCTGGAGGACTGGCCTTCCAGAGACCCTGGGGGGAGGCCCAACCTCAGAGGGATCTTAAGATCCTGAGGCTCCCAAGAACTTGAGCTGACACCTGAGATCTCCTTGAGGAATGCCCGTCCCAGGCCTTTTACTTGTGGATTTCGGTTCTCCTCGATCTGGGCCTGGGAGGCCTGGATGTGGACAGAGCCTGTGCTTTGGCAGGAACTCAGTGGTGTCTTTGCTTAGCTGCTGGGGGCTGTGGCGCAGAGAACTGGATTTGGGGCTGTCTCTGGTGACTCAGGCAGTAAAAAAATCTGCCTGTGATGTGGGAGACCCAGGTTCGATCCCTGGGTCGGGAAGAACCCCTGCAGAAGGAGATGACGACCGACTCCAGCATCCTTGCCTGGGAAATCCCATGGACAGAAAAGCCTGGCGAGCTACAGTCCATGTGGTTGCCAAGGGTTAGACACAACTGAGTGGCTAACACTGCGTCAGAAGCTGCCAAGATCACACTTCGGATTAAGAACTCAAGGCAACAGACAGGAAGGAAATAGCATCAACACAGCGGCTTCCACCTCTCTTCTGCGTGTACCTGAGATGCCAACACTGGAGTGAAGGCTCCCATAGATGCCGAAGAACAGACTGTGGTGATGACAGGTGTCAGCCACTAGCAAGAGAGACAGGAATTCAGCTTCCCAGGCCCCCATCATCCCACCAGAAAAACACATACAGAGAGGTCAAGATCCAACAGAACATCTTATTAGATACGAACTGTGGCTTTGCCCCCCTGCTGGTGGCAGGAGGCCCTCTCTTGCCTGCAGTGGGACCTATACAGCCTGAAAAAAGCCAGCAGGCAGCAAGTCCTCATGAGGCCATCTCATCTTAGCCCTCTGGATCTTACCCCTCCACATGGGGGGAGGCCTGATCCACGGAGATCTGAGTTTGATCCAATGCAGAAGGAACACTCTTTTGGAGCAAGGCAGCTCCTAAAACCGCGTCCCTGGCCATCTTTCCTCCCAGTTCGCTAGCCAGAGCTGCCCCAAGACAGGCTTACTTATAATGCTCCACCCCACAAAAATGGAGCCCCCATATCTGTATCAGCTGACCTCCCCTTTGGGCGTGGAGCCAGGAGTTGGGGGTGGGGTGGGGGCAGGCGAAGGAATTTCCATTCCCTGGGATCTGACTTCTCAAACCTCAGTCCTGAATGTTAGGATTTCTGCCGTATCAGTTGACCACCTGTACTTTATATTTTTCTTTACACATGGTTTACTGTTTGCTTAATAAATTTATTTTACAAGGAATCTGTTGTGTATCATTTCTGTAAATGGAAAACCAAGTACCACTGGCCAGAAATAGAAGGTTAAACATGGAAATAAATACAATGTAAACAAAGATATCAAGTTCTAAGTAGACTTGATTTTCTGCTGGAGGCATTGACCTAGAGATTTGCCCTTTTTCTGTTGAAAGGATCAACAGTGTTGTTGTTGAGTTGATAAATCCTGTCCGACTCTTGGTGACCCCATGGACTGTAGCCCTCTGTCCATGGGATTTCCCAGGTAAGAGTACTGGAAAACTCTTGCCATTTCCTTCTCCAGGGGGATCGACCCAGGGATCAATCCTGCGTTGGCAGGTGGGTCCTTTACTGCTGAACCACCAGGGAAGCACCGTCAGCAGTGTTAGAAAAGTGGCAGAGACTCTAGCGCATCCTGAGACCTGCCCCCAGATGACCTGCCCTGGGAGGAGCCATCCTGTGCGACTTAATGCCGGCCAGGAGTCCCTCCCCCAAGTTCATCCACACCCAAGAAATGCTGGGGGGTAGAGGCCAACACTCTGCTCTTCCTGCCAGGAGGGCCCGGGAGCCTCCCTTCTCATTGCTTGGATGTCAGAAGTTGGAGCAGCAGTCAGGGAACCAACACACCCACCTCCCCTCCCACACGAGGCTGAGGGACCCTCCCCTCTTCTCCCACCTCACACTCATCCCCTCTGTGTTCCTCCCAGCCTGGCCCAGGGGATGGAGAAATCAGACCTGACCCCGCCCTCAGGGAGCTCTGGGTCTCTCTAGCAGCTGGGGGTGGAGGGAGGTGAGATAAGACCGGAAGACACTAGTGATACAAGATCAGTCCTGTCTCTGTCACTCACAGTTGACTAACAGTGTTACTTCTCCTTGTCACCATCAGCTAACCAGACTCTGTTGTGGGGACTCCGCCCACGGGGTGTGAACGGTCCCAGGGAAAGGAGAGCTCAAAGCTTAGATGCCTGTGCACCAAGAGCTCAGCGGACGGACAAGGCCCCAGTGCTCCGATCTGGTTCTATCACCCACTCACTTGGAGAAAAGTAATTTTTGTATTACTGGGCCTCACATTCTTTCTCATGATACAGAGAGAGTTGAAAGTTAAACCAATGCTCTATTGGAGCTTTCCTAGCTGTGACGTCTAAGGATACAATAAAATGAAAGATGGTCCTGTACACTCACATGTGGATGAATGTCATCTCCCTGAGGCAGAGTCCAACTTGCTGTCCCCAAAATCTCCTTTATGTCCCCAGACCCAGAACAGGATCTAAAATATAGCAGATGGGGGGGGGGGGGGAATAAAATATAGCAGAAGCCCAAAGAAAGGGAAAGGGGAATGACTGTATAAATAGATGGATTAATAGATGCACTCATTTTACTCTTTCTCTTTTTCCTTTTTTTTGGCTGTGCTCCATGGCACATGGGATCCTTGTTCCCCAACCAGGGATAAACCTCATGTCCCCTGCAATGGAAACCTGAAGTCTTTTTTTTTTTTTGGAACCTTGAGTTTTAACCATTGGACCACCAGGGAAGTCCTTTCTCCTCTTTATTTTGAACCTCTCTTCATTTTTAACACTGTTTTGTTACTTTCTCATGCTGAGTCCTTCCTTTATGCCTTTCAGCATTTAAAATGTACTTCTTAAAAAAAATAAAAAATAAAATGTACTTCTTCAGGACTTCCCTGGTGATCCAGTGGTTAAGACTCTGTGCTTCCAGTGCAAGGGATGCGGGTTCGATTCCTAGTCAGGGAACTAAGATCCCACATGCTACATGGCCAAGAATTAAAAACAAATGAACAAAACCATAAAAATAAAGCATACTTCCTGAATGGTCCTTTACCTAAAAACTCTGCAGTCTTGAGTCAAGTTCTAGAGTGTTTGCTCACTCTCATTCATGACAGCTGGCTTCCTCTTATGTTTTCTAAGTTGGGGCTATGAACTCAGCTCCAGCAGGGCCTTATCCATGGAAATCCATGTGACCAGCTCCAGGGTGTCTCTTTAGAGAGCTTCTGTGTTTGCTCCAGCCAAGGATGCTTCAGGGGAATCACCAAGCCTGGACCACATTATTTGTTCATTTTTATTTGGGCTTCCAAGACTATATAAATCATATAAATTTGAACCCCAAATTTAAATGAAGTCACATCTTTGCTTATGAACTCTCAGGGGAGCCTTTCCATTGCCACCAGTTCTCAGGGTGTGACCCATCAGGTTCTTTTGTACTCCCTGGGTGTTTTTTTTTTTTTTTCTAGTCTGCATTTTTCACTGAGAGTGTCACCCTTTAAGGGACTGAGCTGAATATTAGAGTCTCAGTTTTCAGTGCCCCAGGTAAATCTTCTTCTCCAAAATATAGGTGGAGGTAAAACCCAAACTCCTTCTTTTTGCCAACTGTCCATGAGCTCCCCCACCTTTGGTTTTCGATTTCCTCTTTGTGTGAGGCTCCGGGGATTCCCCTTAGTTTCTTGAACCTCAGCTGTGCTTTGTAAAGGATGTTTGCTTGATTTTATGCAGCATTTCTAGATGTTTCACGGCAGGCATGTGCTTGTCAGATTAATACCATTCACAATATCACCAAAAACAAACAAACAGCCGATTTCCTCTATAACCAAGGTCAAATCTTCACAGCTAAACTTCTGGAAGGACCCGTCTGTCCTAGCAGGCTTCTATACACTTCCAGCATTCTCCAGAAACTGCTTTCCCCCAAACCAAGATCTGCATATGTTAATCAAAGGACACTACTCAGTCTCCTGTGAGCATCTTAGATATTTTGATTCCCTATCTTTTTTTTTTTTGGCCACACCACATGTCGTGGGGGATCTAGTTGCCTGACCAGGGATCGAAGGCGAGTCCACTGCATTGGGAGCGAGGAGTCTTAGCCACTGGATCACCAGGGAAGTCCCTGGGTCAGATAACATTTCATGTTCCTGTACACTGTGGAATATTTTGCAGCAACTCTAGTTGTGAAGAGATGTCTGCAGGCATTGCCAAATGTCACCTGGGGTGGGGTGGGGAGGGGAACCAACCTCTCAGATCTAAGTGACGCATTTTAATCAATTAACGCACCTGCACATAGAGCTTGCAACCTGTCCAGGGAAAGGCCCACTGGGGAGCTAGACACAGCTACCAGGTAGAACCACATGTGCCACCTCTTGCTGATTATCAGGGGCACCAAAAAAGGATTAAGATGAAGAGATAAAACAACTAACCCTGGAGGAAATGATAGGGATAGAATTGGATAGTTAAACAAGTAGTTGTAGAAGTCCCAACAGGGGACTATACAGAAGAAACCCTAGGAAATTTTGGGAGGGCATTGTAAGTTAACGATAGCTCAAGAAAGCTACTGGGAGAAGGAAATGGCAACCCATTCCAGTGTTCTTGCCTGGAGAATCCCAGGGACAGAGGAGCCTGGTGGGCTGCCATCTATGGGGTCGCACAGAGTCAGACACGACTGAAGTGATTTAGCGGCAGCAGCAGCGGCAAGAAAGCTATTGAACATTATTCAATGAAGCAAGCTTGCTTAATTATAAAACCATAAGCAAACCCATAAGATATGCCCCAGGCTACTAGATGGAAGAAATGTCACCATTCTTCTACTAACAAGATAATCCTATTTGACCTCATAGGGTCAGACACTTTTCTGCCTAATATGTATGCCTAATGATGTATGCCTTACATCTGCATCTCCATCTACCTGAAGAAGGCGGTCTTCTCCCCTCCCCCCTTTTCATTAGAAATTGTCTCCCACTCAATCCTCGGGGCAGAGCTCCCTCACCTGCCCACTTGCATTTCTTAAAACCGTCTATATTAATAAATCTACTTCTTGCTATCACTTTGCCTCTCGCTGAATTCCTTCTGCACTGAGACACAAAGAACCTGACCCTCAGTAAGCCCAGACACTGGGTGAGTGATTCTAATTAAAAAATTGTGGATTCAAGTCCCAAACTGGGTTTTGGCTGGGTTCAAGTCCCAATCTGATGCAAATGGTTTCAGAAACAAATAAGATAATACACCATGAAACCAGCAGAGGCTTCTAGGAAGACAGTGCATCACAATGTCTTTTGTAATTGAAAATTATAAA